GAGCTGCTGCGCTCTCTGTGAGCATCCCCATCATCTCGTCTTGCTCATCTGGATACCTTCGTACTCCGTCTAGGTGCAAATTCAAATCATCATCACCAAAAGCACATCCCGAGAGCGCATACAATATTCATTGGGAAGCTGCATGGGCAGCTGATGGCAGGGAACCAGCGTTGCCAAAAGCCAATGAGCAAGTAATGAAAAAGAGCGGCAGCCCAATCCATGCGCAAAAGGGGCTGGTGTAGGCTAACTGAGGAACCTATCAGCCATGAGAAATTATTTCCAACCCACTGGTCGCATGCAAGATTTTTCTGTTCTCAACCCAGATGAACAACTGAACTGGAGGCTACCAAACTGGTAATTATGAACACAAACGTAGCAGTGTGTTCAGCTGGATTCGAGATTATTATTATTATTATTATTATTATTATTATTATTATTATTATTATTATTATTATTACTGAAAACGTTTGCAACAAAACTTTTGATTGTTCTGGGATTACGCTCCACATTATTCAAGCATTTTCAAGAGTAACTCATTTTCCCTTTTGTAAGCGAACAATCTTCTGGCTGCACTTGAGGAGAGATCTTCAATAATTTTTGACTTTTTAGATTTGGTTAAGTCTCTTTTTTTATCCATCTGGCCTAAAGAAAAGAAGTAACCTAATAATTATGCATGCTTTTATATAGAGTGTTGAGGCCACCACCATTCAAATTTATCCAGCTTGGAGTTAAAATATGCCTAAAAATGATACGTTCAAAATATTAACTTACCTATAGCACTTGTGCACGCGGTGTAATATGCTGAGCAGGAAATTAAAAAATACCTTCCATTTTTGTGAGGTATGCTAATCACCCTGGAGACAATCTGCCTTTGTATAAAGCATATGAAATTCCCTAAAACGCAAATGTGTTGGACTGATCAGGCCAGATAGATGAATGAATGAATAAATGGCATAGTCTGGCCAAAGTTGCTGAAGAAGGGCAGTAAACAGATGTCATCCAGTGTAGCAGGTGAATTATTTATGACAAACAAATATTTCCAAAAATCCAACATTCATTCGCTCAAAAGTTAATGGGCTACAAAGAAACATGCCTGAACTTGGAGCAACCCACACTGACATCCTGCTTCAGTGACCTAGTTCTGTCCTTCTGACCTGCTAAATTCTTCCGTTTAAATATCCCCCAAGCTATTCTAATAAAATGACATCTCATGAAATATTCCATGTAACAGGTAAGACGAAACATTAAAACATAAACTTATACATGCTACTATACCAGCAACAAGCAAACTCTTAGAGTGTTGCCATTACATTTTACAATAACATATCACAGATTTTCATATTTGTCCAGTAATTGAAATGAAAATTTGCTTCCTTGTCCCATCTTTTCACAGCAGAGCAGAAGGTCTGTATTGTAGATAATCATGACAAATGTCTTTGATCAGATTAGCGCAGCTGTTGCTGTCTTCTTCGGGTCCTGGTGGGAGGCAGCTGCTACCTCTGTTCTTGCAGATGGGTCCCTGAGACTTGAGAACAAACTTTGAGATACACCTCAAGATAGACTCAGCAGGCCTTCAAGAGGAAAATGCAAATAAGAGGTTGATTTGCATCAAATTACCTGATGGAGTGCACTGCAGGGGTTCTGGAGGGTGTCCTTCAAGCAGAGGAAGAGAAACGTGAAGCTGCAGGAACATTTAGGCATTAAAAATACTCTGCTTTGATCTCATTAATTTGTTGAAAACGGGTGATTTTGCTAAACGAACAAGCTTACTTAAAAAAAAGGGGGATAAGCAAGTGCTTAGTGAATAAATTGGACTCAGTCACTGGCTGTTTGTAGGTAAATTTGTTTGCCTGGAGCCAGCAGGAAGCTGGGGGATTTCTTTAAATACCACATGGTTCTGTTCTGGTTTCATTTAATCAGGTCAGAGGCGTTTGATTCCTGACAAACGCCTCTGATTGTAGACATGAACATAAAACTGTTCATGTCTCCGTTTGCAAACTCCTGCAGGTTTCTGTGTAACTGAGGAATCATTTTGGTCCTAGACCTCCACCAGAGAGTCCTGGTCAATGGATTTATGTTGTGATGCTTGTCCTTTGGTTAGTCTGTCCTGCAGTATGTCTGAATTGCATTCTGGTAATCAACAATGATTTGGTTTTCTGTATGAACCAGGCTCTCATTATCAGTTGATTAAGTCACATTTAAAATTTAATTGCTGTTCTGTTATGTTTTCAGACTGATAGAAAAGTCTTTGATGTTGTGAACCTTTAATGCAGAACAAATGTAGAGAATTTTTGAGTTACACTCCAAAGTAATACAGTAGTAAATCAAAAGTTTGCACCTTCTCACAGATTTCTTTTAGTTGTCACATTTAAATGTTTCAGATCACAAAACACATTTTTATTATCAAAGATTACCTCATTAAAAATAAAAAAAGCCTTTTTAAAATGATGAAGGGTGACAGACAATGAGCGATATGATTCTACTCACTCCTTTTTGATTGGCTATGGTGTCCTATATTGTGCTTCCCTTAATTTTTATTTGATATTGTGAGACGTATCATATTATGCAACAAGTGGAAAGCTAGGTATTATTTGTAGGGCAAACACCTTTTCAGTGTTTCTCTATATTTTAATCATAATGGATTCCACATTTAAAATGCTCTAAAAGTCTGAACATTTAACTGTGGTAAAGAATTTACTCGGAATTCACATTCAAAAACTTCTGAGTTACTCTGATTGGTTTGTCTACTCCCAGTCCTGGGTCAACCATGACCAAATGTGGAGGGGCTGTTGGTCTGATCCAACTTACTGGCTAAGGTTTTCAACCTACAACATGGGCTAATGTGACAAACATTTAACATTAAGTCAATCAAAAAGGGATTTAAAACAACAACTTCAATTAGTAAACATGTAACACTTAGATGAAAAATTGTTTTTCCAATTTTTTTTAACCCTGTAGACCTTACAGGATAGAAAGAGGCTGGTGTCTGTCTCCAGCTGTCATTGGGCAAGAAGCCAGGATTTCAGAGACCCACAGCTATGAATTTATGCATCATCTCATAATGTTTTAGAAGAGTCTATTGGCAAACAAATTAACTTGAACGACAAAATTAATCATCGAGTGACGAGTGATTTACCAACTTCATGATCAGTTGGTAAACATATGAATGTAGAACATAGGCTATAGCTACTATCAACATAAATGAAACATGGTGTTATTTAACGAGGTAATGAGGAGATCTATTGGGATTGAAAACTGTGCAAAGTTTTTTCAACATAGTTCCACATAATCAGAGCTGTTTCTTATTGTTCTGGAGCTATTTTGACTAAAATCTTATTCTTCATATTGTAAAAGTTACTTTCAGGCCAGACAAGCCCAGTGTGCAATTCTGCTGCCTCTTCATGGTCACTGAAGTCTATTTTTGATCACTTAAATTACCTAATCATTATGAAAACATTCCCTGAACAGTGTCTAATTGCCCAAATATTTCTTGCTCTTAAGATAATATTAAACTCACACAAACTGGTCTATCAGTGACATGATAACATGCGGTTGTGATGGTTGATATGCTGCTCAAAGACAGATTTATGAATCTGTACATTTGAGCAAAACAGCTAAAGGAGCACATTATGTAAGACATACCATGCTTATGCCAATAACACTTATAAGAACCAAGCTTTTGCAGCCAAACCAAAAAACATTACAACTAGTAGAAATCATTTCAAAGTCATTTAATTAAAAAAAGAAAAAAGAAAGAACAACAAATATTCTTGAACTCCCAATTCTTATTAAAATGAAATATATGTATATATTAACTCTGTCTCATCCTTCCATTTGTCATACAAACAGAAGAAGTTCAGCTTTGCTTATGTACATATGATGAATGTAAGTTTGTTTTAGCACATGCTGTTGGTATATTTAGTTCCTGCAAACACTCACCAAGACTGATTTGAACAGACTATAAACCCCAACATAAATCGACGCTCAGCATGCACAGTTCGCAGAAGCTGTTCGCTTAGGTAACAAATCATATCTTGGTAAGTTGGTTGATTTGTTATAATCTTTAAACTTGATGTAATGTTTTGTAACAAACCTCTGGCATCTTTATGGAACAGCTGGCAGGTGGTTGAACTGGATTTTATCCAGGCATATCAGTGAAAAGGGGGCTAAACTCAAATGCCTAACCCAATTTTAAGTTTATTTATTTATTTATTTATTTATTTATTTATTTATTTATTTATTTATTTATTTATTTATTTATTTATTTATTGTTACATTTAAAATACTTTTTAAAAAAATTATTGCTTCTACACAATGCAATTATTACTCTGAACATCAGTTAGAACAATGAGGCAATGGGAAGATAGCAGCTAACTTTTATGTGTTCAGTCTATTGTGGGATCAGTTTCAGCTCCTCTTTCCAGAAAATGGTACCAAACTAGTTTTTCCAAGAAATATTAGTAAAACAAAATACTGCACCACTGACTTAAGAGTGGAATCTTTTTCAATACACACAGCTCAACAAGAGTTTCTTATTTTGATTTTAAGGAACATGGGAGCCACATATTATACCAGATTCCAGTAAACTGTCACAAAATATTCTCTTCTTTGTGTTTTACCTCACAACATGTTATATTACAATTTTAACTCTCATAATTTTTTGTGACACATTTACATTTTATATTATCCTTTATATTACTAGATAAGATAAATTAGGTTTTTTTTTATTTCTGTAACTATAATACTAATATTGATATGGATGTTCTTCATAATATATTGTTAGTATTATGTTTGTTTATTTTACGAAGTACATTGCAATGTGCGTAGGAAAACGAGTCAAACACTGCACGTCAATGACTCTGTACGTGATAGTTTTATGTCCTGGAAATATTTTTTTTAAATAATGCCGTTATTGTTTATAAAGGCAGGTCGCATTTTATTGCTCTTAAATGTATGGTTTTTGTTCCGAGGTGCATTGAATGCAACATCTACGGGAGGAGCCAAACTGAGCCAATAGAAAGATGCGTTCAAAGACACGTTGAGCAGTTCTGGGTTGTAGAAATATCAGCTTCCTGTATTTGGATCTAAGGAGCTGAATATATATTTTTGCGTTGTTAAAGTGACTTAAATCATGGTAAGTTTGATAAATTCGTGTGTGTAACCGTATCCGTTTCTTTCTTTTCAGCTTCACTTTGTTTTTTATTCCACCGTTTGCAGCCGGTAGAGACTCGTCAGCATTCAATCTGCTGGCAAATATCAGAAATTTGAGATATAACGTTTATCTGTAGTTAATCCTCCGATTGTCCTGTGTTTTCTCAGGTACTTGCTGACTCTGAGTCGGCGGTCATTCTTCGGCTCAGAGGGCCGCTGGACCTGAAGTGTCAGCTGGACTGCATAGATGGTGTGTTCACTGGCAGGTTTTCAAATAGTGTCCGGTATGGCTGAATATATCTGACTGACTTTTTTTTTTTCTTCCAGAGGTGCCAATGCAAAAAGCAATCTCCAGAACATTTGAGGCACTTCGTTTGCAGGTGAAATCTGAGTCCTGTGTCCTGGCAGTCTGCAACAGCCCTGTTCTGATTTGGCCAAACAAAAGTGTTTTTGAAGAAATAACTCCTGATGCACCATTTGAAGACATATTTCAGTTCATACAGTAAGTAATGAATTTAACTTTTTATTGTAAATGGAACAACTGCTCCAATCAGTTTGTTGGAGCCTTTTACACTTGAACCCCTGCTTGGCATATTTTTGAATTTGTCACAAAATGTGAACAAATTATCTTATATTTTAAAATCTTAATATTTAAGAACTGCCAACAACCCAGAATAGAACAAATTATATATTTGAAAGAAACTTTCATTTAATTACGGTCACAATGTAAGTTTAGTTAAAGGGCAGGGGGGAGGGGGTGTGAATGAGGTCATCAAACTGGTGCAAACTCAATTTAAAACACATTAGGCTGGTCATTTTTATTTGTTTGGCTGTATTTTAACCATTTTTTGTAATGTCTTTTAGAACAGATGACCAAGAGACAAGTGGAAAGAGATCAACAAAAAAGAAAAACAGAAAAGGTGTTTCAACGGTAAATATATGCTGTTTTCAGGATAAATTTTTATAGGAACAAATTGGAGTGGTAATGACTTGGGTGGTTCATGGTTCAAATACTGTTTCTTCTCGGGGAAAGTCAGGTTGTGTCAGAAAGGGCATCCTGCTTAAAACATTTGCCAAGTACGTGTGCATGCAGCTGTGGAGCTTGCAGAAAGGATGGCAAGTTTCACAGGACCAAAATCCTTAAGTATTAAATTTGTTGGAACATAAGCTATGAATTTTCCATAGTATAAAGTATTTAGAAAGAGTATTCATGCCTCTTTATAGATTAGGGATACCAGAGTAAACAAGGGCTGAATATAAACATATGCCATAATTGTATAATTTCACTAGTTAAAAAAAAAAATACATCCTAACTTTTCTACCTCAAAAGGTTTGAGCAACTTTGTGTCGATTTGTCACATAAAATACCAAAAAGTTTGTGGTTGCAATATAACAAGATGTAAAAAAGTTAATTTGGTGTAAGTACTTTTATAAGACACTGTCAATGTATGTTTGTTTTGTTTTTTTTAATTTATTAATCATCACTTAACCTAAAGCTAATTGGCTCAGGCAGTTCTCTAATTTGTTAATTCAGAGATAGCATAAAAATAGAAGCCATGCTTTAAAAAATCATATGTGTGGACTGGGGTCCCCCTAGATGAGAGCTTTTAATGCTGCATTCTGGCAGCAGCAGATATTTTCCATACCAGCCAGCTTTTTACACCTGATAATACTGGAAACTGGAATGTTAATTAAACTGCTTCCAAAGTCATTCACCTCATTGACACAGATTATTTACTTTACTGGATTAGCAGTCCATGTGTAAGAGAGGATGAACGTGTATCATCCATGTTTTATATTTGTTCATATTGACACACACAACAAAAGCAGGATTTGCTTTCTGATAAACAGATATTTAAGTAATACATAGCTTAGTCACTGACCAAATTCATGTGTTATGTGGACAATAAAAAAAACAAAAAACATTTCATATTATTGCCTGGATAAAAGGAACATCAGCTGGAGTTGGACCGTAGCTGCATGTATTGAGTCTGAAGTTATCCCACGTAAACTCTGGTTTTAACAAAATGTCAAGATCAGTACTTGAGAGTCCAGAACATCATTAATACCAGTCAGTATTCCTCGTGTATTTACTTAGCGAAGTATCAGGTTATGACTCAGTTCTATCATATGCCCCCAAATGACTTCAAGTCATTTGAGTAAATGACTTGTATCTTTGTTGGGGACAACAATTCCTGATCTGGACCTCCCTAGACGGTATCTGTATCACAGCTGAAGATCAGGTTCTCAAATGTTGCTATGCTTCCACAAAACACACTTTATTTTATTCATGTGGATAGAACCAGAACTGCTGAATAATTAAAGTATGTTCTTTAGAGTGTCATAAACCTCTCCCTGATGATGGAGGCCACAAAGCCAGGCCCTGCCTCAGCTCCAATCCTCACTAGAACGGTCCAGAAATCTCACCTTCTGTGTGCGACTCTTCCAATGGACTGTGCTGTATGGAGCAGCTGGAGCGACACCATCAAAGAGTACGTCTTATCTTGAACACATTTGAGTTCACGATCAGAATCTGTAAAACTGGTATGTATGTGGATTTGCCACTGATTCAACAGTAGCTAGTAGCTGCTTTGACAAAACCCTTATCTCACAATGAGGGATGTCTTCTTAATTGGCCCTGCAGCGGATGTGAACGACTGATGAAGGCATTGACTCGCCAGCTGTTTGAGATGGAGAAGGTGACTCTGCAGTGTATGAAGGGGACAACACTGCGTGTCCCAGAGCCCCTTCATTTTCTCCTTCCAGAGCCAAATGGACTGGTGACGGTGGTTTTTCCTCGCGGAGAACCGGATAAAGAACTGGAAGCGCAGCGGCGGGTAAGATCACATTGATTTTTGCTCTTTTTCTATTTATTTTAATTATTTACCTTAAGATGTTTCAGTTAGAATCTTCATTGCTCTAAAAGCTGAAGTCTGATTGAATAGCAAATTATAACAATTGTTTCTCATTGCTTTTGCACAAAACAGGAGTTGCATGGACAGTTTGAACTGCCAGATAACAGGCCTTTCTTCAGAAGAGCAAATGCTTACCACTTCCCTAATGAGCCCTACAAAGACGGTTATCTCAGAAACCCTCACACAGTTCTCACACACCCCACACTCGATAACGGAAAGGTAAATTTACAGCGTCTATAATATTTACTTATTTACTTTTTCCTTGTAACTTTTACAATTTTGGCACACTGTAATAAAGAAAAATTGAAACGAAGGTTAAATATTTTGTGCTTTGTCTTATCAAGGTATACCTGGTTCAGGGAATTTACAGCTACCACCACTATATGCAGGACCGCATGGATGACAATGGCTGGGGCTGTGCCTATCGCTCTCTACAGACCATCTGCTCCTGGTTCCAGCAGCAGGGTTATGTGGAGCGCGGCGTGCCTAGCCACAAAGAGATCCAGCAGGTGAAGCCCATTCATAGATGTGATTCCAGTTAAAGCAAAACATCATCATATATGCGATATTTCTATGAAGGGCTTTTTTTTTTTTTTTTTTTTTTTTTTTTT